GCTTTTTCAAATTTCCCGCGTCTGGGGGCAGTTTTCTAACGGAAACAATTAACGGCAACTCGCGGCTATTTCCGGTCAACTAAAACTGACAACATAACCAAGAAATCGGAGCTCGTGATATCGTGAAATGAAATGTAGAAGGATTGCGTTGGATATTTAAAAGTTGATCGATTTGGTTATTGCATAAAGCGTATATGGACCACTATAAGAGATCACGTTGGGTTTGTAAACAAACCGAAGGAAAAAATAACAACAACAACAACGACTCGACATCTTCCGGAAATCACCGAGCCCGCCGTTTGCTCGTTTCCGGTGATTAGAAAACTGCCCCCAGACGCGGGAAATTTGAAAAAGCGCGTTCCTAACAACGCAAATTGCGCAGTAAGGAGTGTATTTCAGACTTTTTTGATGTGACCATCGTAATTTTCGTGTCATTTAACCTCTAAAAAGTCTATTCGCGCGGCTGTATCTCTTGCATGCAACAGGCCCATTTTAGTTTTTTGACTTGTCGATTTGGAATTCACTCTCTGACCCCCAGGAAGTTAAAAGTAATCATCACCAATGACGTAAACGAATAGTCTATGTTCCCGCCAAAGCGGATCCACCAGGTATTTGGAAACTCGGAAGTTTCCCCGGCAATACGCACGCGGGCAACACGCGTTACACCGCGACGTATTGTCTCTCTCCGCGGCGTTTGTTCCTAGCGAACTTCGCCCAACCGCCGCCTGAGGGCGCTCCGCGCACCACGCTTGATTGCGATCAGCTGACGTACCGGTCTCTCTAAGTAGGTCACTAGTGCTTCTGTGCTTCTCTGCTTGTCTGTTTTTCACGTCCTGCTTGTACGTCGAAGCTGCTTGGAGTTTTGGCTGTTCCGCATCCTGAGGATTTCTTTATTAGCCTTCTGATTCTTTCGCTTTCTTATTAGCACTTTCTTCCTTTATTAGCTGTACTGCACGGTAAGCCGCATTTTTCTTTTGTCACTACCGCCTCCTTTGCCACCGCATGTGGAGACCTCGGCCTTGGAGCCCACCGCTGTTCATCACCGCCGCACCGCCGCATGGCCTCATCTTCCCAAACAAAAAGGGTTTTGGGAAGATGATCGGCTGAGCGCCACCACGTTTAGGTTCGGGGGGATTCAGTTTAGGAGAGAGAGGTGAGGCCACCTATATACAGTCACATTTTTTAGCTCAGCCCTGACGCTACAGTCTATGTTTGTATTCAATTGTTATAACAAAAAATTGCATTTGAAATCATCTCGGAAGCTAGAGGAGCAACATTTGTATACGTGCGCTTTTACCTCTTTTTTTCATTTTTCCGAAACACGCGTTTCTCTACGCCTGTCATTTGAATATTCCTAAATGAAATTGTTAAAATCTTCGTTATTCTGGAAGTTTAGACCCTCCAGGTAACTTTTACACCCTTGGTTTTTGTTTTTAATGATTTTCATTTTTACCGTGAATGTCCCGTTTCTGTAATGGGCTCGTCCCAATGTGCAACGGTTTCAGCAAGCTTCTCAATCGAGCAATGTTCATTTCCCACCACGTGTTGTTCAAACTATCAGCAAGTTACTATAGCTGAGCAAAAGCGTCAAGATTGAGGTCGGCAGATTTTTTCATCGCAGAGACTGTCATGATAACGTTTAGCGCGCGATGTGAATAACGCAGACCATGGAGTTTTCATGAGCGGGTGGTTTGAATTCACGCATCAAGAATCATTAAATATCTTCGTAAAGAGTTGATTTCGGTAATTTTCCTTGTGCGCATCGTGTTCTCCGAGAAATGTTGGATGAGAGAAATGTATCAGAATGCTGAAATTCGTACCTTGTTTAGTGGTCCATTGCTAAAAAAAAGTGACTGCAATATTTCAACGCACACTGGAAAAAGAAAACACATTGGATCTAGAGTCCAAACTCTTAAAAACATCGACAAGAAAAAATGCTCTTGATTCAATCGGATTTTTGCTTTAATCAAGAACCAAGCCTCTTAATTTGAGCGGATTTCCTTTTGATTTAAGCAAAAATCCGATTGAATCAAGAGTATTTTTTCTTGTCAATGTTTTCAAAAGTCTGGACTCTACATCCAATGTGTTTCTTTTACCCCAGTGTAGATTTCACAACACAAAAATGCTAATTTAACCACCCCCGTGGTTAAAATAACTTACAATACTGGTTAAAGTAGCATTTTTGTGTTGTGAAATCTACGTTGAAATATTGCAGTCACTTTTTTTTAGCAATTTTATTGTTAAATCAGCAAATTAATTTTTCCGTGCGAGCGATTTGAGCCGCGCGGATTGCGGAAGCGAAACATCTGAATCGTCCCATTTGATTCTCCGGCGCGGCGCACAGTGGATCAAGTCAATTAACGCGGTCGGACGTACAATTTTTGACTAAAACTGCAAATTTTGATGTTTATTTCGTCATATTTTATATTTCAAGAGGTGCTATTACAAGACAATTTTACGAGAAAACGAATGAAACAACTTTTAGAGCTACAAAGTTCTGTATGAACGGAGTTATGAGCGTTTAAAGTTTCCAAATTTTGTCCGACCTCTCCTATTGACTCGATCCAGTGTGCGGCGTTTGATGAGGAATCATTTTTCTCCTCCAGCTTTTAATTATGACTTCTCACTCCTCCCCGATTGAGAAACCCCCGCTTCGGGCTGGATTCGGACACGACGCTCGTAAGTGGCTCAGCCCTCCCCGCTCCCCCTCGCTCCTCTACCCCCACTTCCCTCCTCACAGAATCCTCATCAATTGTGTAAAGAGATAGTTTCCGAGAAGCGGTCCCTCGGCGGCGTGCGCTGCAGTGGCGTGGCGTGCTTTGCGATACATCGATTGATCTTCCGTTTAAACCTATGGAAAAGGATCGATATGTAGGGTGTTCGCAGCGAAAACCTTAATAATCGATTTTTTACCATAGCTACGAATGGGAAAATATCCATAATCGATCATTCAAGCCTCAAAGAAAGATGCTCTCGAGCTCATCGTCTCAATTTGACGTCACTGTTGCCGAGTGAGACGTCGGATCGTGACGTTCGACGTTGGAAGGGGTGCGGTTTTCCATTCGTCGGAAGTCCGCGCGCGGTGTTCATTTCGTCAGTTTGGCGCGATTTCCTTGAGCCGCTTGCATTCCCCGATCAAATCGCAGCTATGTTGAGTGTGTGATTGAATTTTCCGAAGTTCTCATCCTCCGCTTCCCATTCGGGGTTGCCACAGTGTGGGGAAACGTGGAAAACCGGAAAATGTCAGGGAATTTTGAGAAGTCAGGGAAAACCGGGAAACGTCAAGGAATTTTTAGAAGTCAGGGAAAACCGGGAAATGTTGGGGAAAATGACGAAAATGTCAGGGAAAACCGGGAAATGTTAGGGAAAATGACGAAAATGTCAGGGAAAACCGGGAAATGTTAGGGAAAATGATGAAAATGTCATTGGTGCCACAGTGTGGGAAAACTTGGAAAATCGGAAAATTTCAGGGGATTTTGAGAAGTCAGGGAATACCGGGAAATGTCAGGGAATTTTGAGAAGTCAGGGAAAACCGGGAAATGTCAGGGAAAGTAACGAAAATGTTAGGGAAAATTTGTCAAATCATCTTAATTTGCTTTCTAAAATGGGTTTGAGATTTTAAACTAGAAATTTTGCCTGAAAACTATTTTCAATTTTGCCTCCTTAACCATCCGCCACATCTTCAATTGTCAGGGAATTTCACCAAAACGTGTCAGGGAAATCAGGGAAATGTCAGGAAATTTCATTTTCTAAATTTTGTGGCAACCCTGCCTCTCCTTCACCTCCTCCTACTTCCTCAACCCCTCCCCCCGCCCTTAACCCGTGGTGGGTTTTGCAGGGTTGCAATTTCTGGAAAGACCTGGAAAACTCGGGAAATAGAAGCACCCTGTAGAAAATTTCACAGGAAGAGAAATTAGCCGACACGTTGTGTTAATATTGGAAGTAGAACACAGAGTACCGTGAACGTTGATATTTTTTCGTTAATTTTTCCTTTAGGTACGTTGACCAAATTTCTAAGTCGAAAATTTGCAACCTAGTTAAAAACCAGGCCCGAACTGCCAGGATCGAACCTGTGGGCTGATTATTGAAATCGATAGACAAAGTTATCAACAAAGTAGACGAAAGGTATATTGAGGGATCTTATTTGAGGAAGTGGATGGTTGCAATGGACATTGGAGGTACGTGAGAGACTTACTAACGGCAACTCACAAGAGACCCTATAGTTAGTTCATCAATAACCTCCTTAGTCTATAAGGACCATCCATGTCAACCAATAGGATCGCTCCTTACTTCCTATGTCTTCTTTGTCTATAGCTTTGTCTATCAATTTCAACGATCAGCCGGCTGGATCGCATCGGTGATGCGTCCAGGTCCTATGCGCTAGCTACTCGCATGCTGCAAACTCTAGGTGACAACAAGAGAACCGAGAGTACATTCTTGCAGCAGGACACTTTCTTAATTTCCGGATGTCTCAGAGTAACCTACGATTTTGGTCAATTTAACAATAAATTTGATCGACCAACCAAGTTCTCCAAGAGAGCATTTGACTGGATAAAGGAATGACGAAGGCAAAACTTTCAAACCACGTATCTCGGTTCGCGAGTTTGCAAAACTCCTGTCATGTATGTACTTCATTTTTTTAATGGAAAGTTATTCTGTCAATTTTTAAAAACTTGCGTGATTTACGTTCTCTGTCCGAAGAAAATTGAATGAGAATTTCAAGAAATGATGTTAATTTGTTCTTCTTAAAAAAGTAACGTAAGTGATTTGGTAGTTTCACCGTCGATAAGTTCTAATAATAAATAAGAGCAAATGCACGGGGAAAAGTGGTCTTGGTGATTTAATAATTAAATTGTCAAAAAAAAGTTCATGTTTTTTTGTAGATTCTACAATAAAAAAAAGCTAATTTAACCAGCGCTTAAATTTAATATTTAAATTGGCAAGATCATTTTTTCCTTGTGAATGGAAAGAAGAGTGAGTTAAGAATGAATTAAGACGAATTTAAAGAATTATAGAAATCAAGAAAATTTATTTTCTCAATTCAGGAAAAAAAATCTGCAATTTGTTTTTATTTCATAATCCAAGCAAATCCACAATGGGTCAAGAAGTCAAAAAAGTTCTCAGAGGTATATTCGTACTTATCCATCCAGTCGTACTTAATTATCATGACCATTATTACTAGCAATCGCTCACGGAGATGATAGCCATTTTTAAATATGGAGGCAAGGGATTAAATTTTGTTACTGTTGGCTGACGCGCCGCCTCCAGTTTGAAGGGATTTCCACCGCAGCGAGGTTGAGTATACACCTGTGTGCATTCTGGAACGAAGACTTCGGTTGAATTTCGTTTCCAGATGTCCGGTAACATGTAACAAAAAGCCCCTTTGAAGCCTTTTTCTTCCTTGTCTGGCTTTTTCAGTACGATGTAAAACGCGGTCCCATCCAAGAAGAGAAGACACAGCAGGAAACAGGAGACGGCGAAACGTTTCATCTTGCTGGCCGGTTCAAGAAGTACCGGAAACTGGTCAAGAAATATATAAATATTTACTTATCGAGGGCCAGTGGCGGATC